GCAAATGCTTATCTGGTTCAGGGCAAGGCAGTTGCTTTGCGCTGTTGTGTCCTTTCTGGGCTCTTTACTTTCTTGCTAAGGGGAGCAAATCTAGGTTGGAACTAATTGGAGAACTAGGAAAATGGGAGTGGTGGACTGCAAAGAGCTTCTCAGAGGGACCTGAGAAAAAAATCACATGCCCTTGCCTTGGCAATTTGACATGAGGAACGAAAGCAGCAACAGGCAAACATTTCTACTTCCACTCTCTTTGAAGTTAGGTGCCCTGGTGAACAGTTGTTCACCAAGTTCTTGATGTACTCCCATGATGTAGAGGTACGTTGCTAACAAGTCCCCTCTCAGCCTTCTCTTCTGTAGGCTAAAGAGGCCCAAGTCCCTCAGCCTCCCCTCGTATGGCTTGTCTTGCCAGTCCCTGATCATACAGGTGACTCTTCTCTGGACCCTCTCAAGTTTTTGCACTTCCTTGTTGAAGTGCGGCACCCAGAACTAGACACAGTACTCCAGCTGTGGTCTCACCAGTGCAGAGTACAGTGGGAGTATCACTTCCTTAGTTTTGCATGAGATGCAATGTTTAATGTATGCCAGTGTGTTGTTTGCCCTGCTGGCCACAGCATTGCACTGCTGACTCATGTTCATGTGATGGTCCCTTTTGGCCATGTTGGGGATTGTTTGCCCCCAGATAGAGAACCTTACATTTCTGAGTGTTGAACTTCATCTGGTTCCAGCCTGCCCAACTCTCCAGCCTGCCCAGGTTCGCCTTTATCTGCAACCTGTCTTTTGTCATGATGACACTCCCCCATAAGTTGGTGTTGTCTGCAAACTTGGCCAGCGAGCTTCTCTAAAAGAGAGGGCTGTGAAGGTTGGGGAGCTGGGGGGGATGGATACATTAAGGATGTATAAAGTTTGCGGATTTTGAGCTATTGATGTTGATGGAGACCAAGATTGGGAGAGGGCCCAAAGCTGTTTATCTCCAAATCACCAGATTCTTACAGCACTGGAGGTACCACTAATGGAAACTTGTTGCTATTCTTCTGCCTCAGGCAAGTGTTGACAGCCATCTTGAAGTAGCCCCTTTCCATTCTTCCTCAGCCAGTTGTCTGTTGGTGTTTTATTATGGGATCCCAATTCTTCTCTTGTTGGTGTAGTGTGCAGTACTTAATCAGCAGTAATAAACAGGTTGAGGGAAAGACATTAAAAAAAGCCTGAGCCTGAATTGATTCAGTCTTTACAGATTAGTCTAACCTGCAGAGAGTGAACTGGTTTGCACGTGGATAGACATTTGACACATGCTTGTAGTAGCTCAAGCCTGAAGCCTAGGGTGCTAGAGCAGCCCTCCCTTCCACAGGGAAGCTGAGCTGAGGATGAGGACCATGGCCAGGCCCAGGCAGGCCCGCCCCAGCAGCTTCCTGACAGCTAGGAGCAATCCAGCCACATGGGGCTGCCCCCCCCTCTAGAGGGGAACTCCCTTTCCCTCACCGCCGGTGCTGGCAGGGGGGCCAAGTTTGGTGCTGTTGGAGGCTCTTCTCCTTCTTCCTCCCACACCTGCACTGGGGTGGGGAGGGAGGCTCTGTGAGGCTGCCTGGCCCCAGAGGGGGGCTCTTCCCCTTGCTTCTCCCCTATCTCTGTGGGGTGGGGAGCGGGGGGCTGTATGGGATGCTGCCCAGCCCCGGAAAGCGACTCTTCCCCCCCACTCCTCCCCCAGGGCAGGGGGCGGCTCTGTTCCATGCTAGGGGGGGACTCCTCCTCGTCCCCCCAGAGGGGCAGCGGGAGCATGGAGCTCAGCTGGACCAGGTGTGGGTGTGAAGGAATGTGGGAGGTGTAGGGACCCCCACACATTCCCCACATGGCATGCAGCCCCCACTGCCTGGAAACAGCAGCAGGCGGGGCAGTCAGGGTGCTCATGCCCAGCGCAGGCACAGCTCCGGCTACTGCTGCGTTGGGGGAGGAAGTGAAGCCTGCCGTATCCCTCCGGCTCTGCTCCCTGAGCCTGCAGTGGGGGAAGCCCCGCACTGGAGCCAGCTGCTGTCCCCAACTCCCCACTGTGCAGGTCCCGCACTCTGCCGGGAGGGGAGGGAGCCCCACCTCCCTGCTTCCCTGTAGAGTCCAGCACCAGGCTTCCCAGATGCAAGTGCAGAGCTGCAACAGGTGATGCACACCATGGGGGGGAGGGGGACCTTACACCCCACACATTCCCTAACACCCTACACACCCACACCCTTCCCAGCTGAGGTCTGTGCTCCTGCTGCCCCTCTGGGGTGAGGAGGAGGAGGGGGAAGAATTCTCTCCCAGCATGGCACAGAGTCTCCCCCTGCCCCCCGCCCCTGCTCTGGGGCCTGGCAGCATTGCATGGAGCTCCCCTACCCCACCCTCCCAACCCCATAGCAGCAGGGGGGAAAAAGGAGGAGGAGGAAGAGTCCCCATCCAGCACCTCACCGAGTCCCCTTCCTCACCATGGTGGGGGAGGAGGAGGAGGAGGTAGAAGAGTCCCCCCCAGCATGGAACAGAGCCCTCCTCCCCATACTGCAGGACAACCAACCCAGCATGGCCCTGTTAAGGTGAAGGGGGCAGGGAGAAGGATTAATTCCTCCCTCCGTCTCTTCCCTGCGTCTGGGGTCTGGCAGCTCTAGGGGCCACGGCTGCAGCCCCCTCCCCTCTGCTCCCCGGCAGACAGGCTGACCATGGCTGTGGTGGAGGAAGAGGAGAAGGAGGGAAGAATTAACCCCATTCCTGTCCACTTTGCCTTAACGGGACCATGCCAGCTGGTGTCTCAGCTAGGGCTGGTCTCTGCTCCGGCTAGAGAGCAGAGGGATGGGGTCAGCTCTGTGGTTGGAGCAGAGAGCCCCACCCAGCCCAGAGAGCATGCCAGGATGCTGGAGGTGTCTGGTTTATCTTAAACCAGCAAGGGGTCTGGGACAGACATTGCATAAACCAGTTTGAGCCAAATCAGTTTAGTCTGATACTACATTAAACCAGGTTCATCTCAAACCAGTTTTGGCCATTTCGAAACTGGTTTATATAGTACTGAATGTCTGTCCTGTTACAGGTTTAAACTAGTTTCTGATCACTTAAACTAGTTTATGTGTAATGTTTGTCCTTAGCTATTATGTTTTACCTTTGGAGATATTAATGCTGCTAACAGTACTTGGTATTGTGCGACTTTTCTCCCCATTTGCTGAACATGTTCTCTGAAGCATTTCTGAGGCAGGAGCCTTGAGATAAACAGTCTGCTTCAAATGAAACTTGCCATCTGCATTCTTGCAGGCAGGCACTGAGCTCAACTGCTGCCATTGAGCTGGAGGCAGGAACAATGAGACATGCTCCATCAGCTCAGCACAGTCACCAAGTGGAACAGTTTCTTTAAGAGAAAAAGAAAATGTTGATCCGGTACTGCCTGATGCTGAGACATCTCAGCTGCCAGGCCTGCTTTGTCCCATATTGTGATTGAGAGGTTAATTGCTATACAGCAGTGCAGTCTTCATCCCTGGCAAGCAGCATAGGTCCTTGCCAGTGTCCAGCTATGCATCTCCAAATTCCATGACCTTCTGCAATGAGGTTTGACCCTCAAATCTGTGTTATACTGATTTTCAAATTAATCACTGCTACAAGAGAAAATCAGCATAGTTAGGGGTTTGGGTTTTTTTTTTTTAAATTAACAAAATAATGCTGGGCTAAATGTCCAAATAAAATCAGTACATTTCCCAAAGAAGTCTAGGTCAAAAGAAAAAGAAAATCCAAACAGAAGAGGCTATGATGGGGTGAAAGATGAATGGTTGTGAACACAGAAGTCCTTACAGTATACTTAACTGGGGGCTACTCTGAAGTAAGAATGAGTCTGGTCAAATTCATTTCCAACCACAAGTTGGAAAACTGAGTCTCAAATGCCTTGAAGGAACATGGCGGAAGGACATCTCTTCTGCTAAGTAAGAGATTTTTACCATTTCTTTGCTAAGATCTAGAATCAGAAAATGAAGGAGCGTTCATTTTGTCAGAAGGACTTGAACTTGCAGATAATTTTTTGAGCAGCGTGACGAGACTGACCAGCTAACAGGAGAGGGAGTGACTGCTGATCCTTCAAGTCATTCAGAAATATCTTACTTCGGAGGATGCCCTGAAATAGCTGTCTGAGTCCTTTCCTCAAGCACCTCATGGAGCCTTCTGGATTTCTTTCATTTGATCTGCCAGAGCTTTTGCCTTAAATTCTAGGTCAGGATGTTTCTGTCACTTCTTAAAATGATGGCATTTGTGACTGTTCTCCTTTTCTGACCTCTCTCTAGCTACTGTGTTGCCAATAGAATTGTAGCATATGATCACCCCTGTAACTTGGTGCATTTACCAGAACTGTGAGATCAGTGCTGAAATATGGGCTGAGAGATGTTCTGCTCTCCATTACATAGTGGACTGTGCCTAGACTGTGTGGTTTCATTGCAATGAAGAAGGTTTGCATAGAAACTTTATTCCGCTTTTGTGCAACAGAAATATTGTCTTTCGAAGGAGAGCCTTCAGAATCTGTCACAAATATGATTTGGTTTGTGCATGTGATTTAGAAGATTTCCATAAAATGGATATATTTATCAGCAAGTCCAGTACAATAACTTTTGAAAATCTGATTGCTTAGAAGCATGAGAAGTAATACCTATACTGAAGTCTTCCATAAACATGGACATTTGTATGATTTCCTGCTGCAACTGATTCATTAATCCCAGAGAAGAATGCAACTTCAACAACAGAGTCATTATAGTAGCTGGGTCAGGGGGAGCTGGTTTTCTCCTTCAAGCCTTAGCTATAGATTGTCCTGCATTTCTTCCCAAGAAGAGCTTTTTATGAATAGGTCAGTTGCAACATGCCTGCTTGCCCCCTGAGGCTGAAGGCTGAGCTTGCTTTTTGAGCTCTATTTTTTTATCTTGGTCCTTTCTTAACAGATGAACCGCTTTTATGGCTTAGCATGAGTTCAGGATCTTCGGAGCCCAACTTGTAATTTCCCTGTGACCCTTTATGTTTTGCAGAGCACATCAGCAAGATAACAGTTTCAACAGAGGGGACAAAAACTTCCTCACGTAAGTTGAGTTAAACAGACTGTCTCTCTCTCCCCCTTCAACCAGGTCTTTGGATCTTGGTCTGCTCTCTAGCTCATCCTGCGTATAATTTACCTGCAACTGGAGCGTCTGCATGTAGGAGTAGCAACCCAGGTGCTGGACTTGCATTAGGGATGATAACACTGTGGTAAACTGTGTCCTGCTTGCCCTTCATTTCGTGACTTAGAAACACTCACAAGCAATGAGTAAGAGGCTAAGCTGGCTCTTTTTTTCCATCCCTGAGTTGTATATGTTGTCCTGCTCACTGCAACAGGTATTTTGCCACAGTTCAAGTGACCATTTCTGGGGTCACAGGTTACTCAGAGAGATCTGAGCATGCCCCCAATGGTGCCTATTTTCCATTCTCACAAAGATGGTAGTCCTAGCTATCACCTATTCAGCTCTGTCAACCATTACAGAATGCTTTCACTGTTTTAGAATATTTAGAGTTTCATGCACCATACAGAAATATGCATAGCTGCAATTATCATTTGGCTAGCACACCATTTTTCCTCTAACGACTGGAGCTGGATTGGTGTGCAGTACTCCTGTACGCCCTGCCAAGATCTGGTCACCTAGAAAAATAGCTTTAATAGCTTTGGTGATGAAAGAACTTACAGAGTGATCTTAATTTTGAAAAGGTTTTCCTCTGCATGATTATTCCTTTGGGACATGTTATGAACAGCAGAAGGATACCGATTTCATCTAGTTTCCTAGTGTGCACCTGGTATCTGATTTAAGGTTTCTATGAGGAATATGGCAGCATGTTAGCCTACATCGTGGTCTATTTTGAACCTCCCTGATACATCCTCAGGGCTATTGTTAACTGCTAAGAGTTCCTTGGTTCTGTCTTCTTCACTTTGATTGCATGGCACTTTGTGGTGCTGTCACATATAAAGCACTCTGCAGGTTTTGTCATCTTGCCTTCTAGCTGAGGTTGCTGACTTGTACCCTTTGTAGCTGACTTCTTTGCTCATGTATGACTCTATTGCCTGGGGCCCTGGAAGAGTAAAACTCTTGCAATCCCCAAATGCACGCTGTGATTTTGTTGCATGTGCTCTGGTTTTGTACCTTCTGGCTCAAAAAACTCAATCTTGATTTTTTCCATTTAATTGAATACAGTATTGGTATAAACTTATTTTTCTGCATGCTATCCTAGTATGACTCATCTCTCAGCTGGTTGCTTTAGCTGACCTAAACATTGGCAATTCCTTTTAGCCACTTTTGAGTCTGCTTTTCTATCTTCTTTCTTTTCACTAAGAAAGAAAACTGTCCTGTCACTGAATAAAGTTTTATTCCTGAGCATATCCATCTTTTGTCACTTCATGGCTATGCTTCTTTTCAGTCATGGATATGTCTAAAACTGGCAGAACTTCTGGTCTCTGCTCTTTCAAGTCCCTAAGCATAGGTGTTATTTCACTTAGCAGAGTCTTGACAGCCCATTTGGCAGTGATCTAGAGGAGTACTTGCATAGAGTGGTTCTTTGTTCAGTATGAGGGACAGAATGGTCACTTGAAGATCCACGTGCTTTCTGGCTTGTCCCTGATGATGTAGGAAACAGCTGAAAACCCTGTAGCCATCATTGCCAACTTTCTCTTTGGCTTCCCTCTAAAGACAATGGAGCATATTTTGCAGTGATTGATTATTCACAGTGTGCCCAGGACATGTTGAACTGAGTTTGAAGTTCTCTGTTCTCTGGGGCTGTCATTCATTATTCTTGCCTTCAGTGGATTTCTTCTTTTTCTTTTTCTTTTTTTCCTGAAGAAGACAAGCTCAAGATCTCCCACTATGATGTAGTAGCCTTATGACTTTGTTGTTACCTTCTCTTTATTGCAGAGACTATGCCTAGGATACAAGCTTCAACAGAAGGAACAAACACCTCCTCCTGTGAGTATGGATGAGCAAATTTAAAACTTTACTTAAAGTTACTGTCCAGGTATATATTCTGCTCCCTAATGTCATGTCTTCATAATTCCCTCCCATTCCCAGTTCTGGGTCTACCACTGTAAAAATGAGCTCCACCTACCCAGCTGCCCCAGAGACTGCAGATTAGGTGAAAAAGGTAGCTCAGTATGCTTGCTCCAGGTTCTCTGATTTAAAAGACCCTGAGAACAGAATGTGATGGAAGGTTCAGGTCCACCCTGGGCCACTTGAGGCTGCCGCTCAGCCATCTACTCTGTCTAATTGCCAGTCATTGGTGGACCTACGTGAGAATGAGCGAGTGGGGCTCATTCTGTCAGGTGGTGGCCTGAGATTGGGGAGATGCCATAGACACATGGTGTAGTTCACTAAATGTGCAACTGTGCTTGCCCCCAGACAAGGGATTGCTGATCTACAGCATCACCTACTGCACTTGCTGTAAATGCATCTGGGAGCATTAAAACCTCCCCAGCCTGTGGGGCCAATCGTGTTGTTCTGGATTGGTCAAAAGGTCACAGGCAGCCAGTTTAAAGGCAGGCAAACCACTCTGGAACCCTCTGCTTGTAATTTCTCCACAGGGAAGGAAGGTCACTAGCAAGCATTGAGCAGCTCCTATGCCTTCCTGCCTGTAGAGTTGCTGTGGCTGGAATGCACTGTGCTCCAGCTCTCCCCAGCTGGATTATGATCCTAAGGATTTCCCCTTTGAGTCCTTTGCAACTGGCCTATGTTAAGAGTTTCTCAGCTTTCCTCCTTTGTTCCAGGCTGGCCTGGTTGGAGGCAGGGACACAATCCATTTTGTAAAGGCAAGTACAGTGCCTTTACTGCTCTCCCTGGGTTCCCACAGCCAGTGCAAAGATCCTCCCTCCCCTTGCAGGGCAGAGGCATTTAGAGAAAGGACACCAGGTGGTCAGAGCCCACCACAGTTGGTCCTGGGACTTCAGGAGTAGCTGAGACAGTGGGGCAGGTAGGGCCTCTTCCTCCTTCCTGCTGTACTGAGGTTGATTCAACTCTTGCAGTGTTTTATATGAGCTTTGCTTTCATGAACATTGTGTGCCTCCCAAGGCTGGTGGGGTACAGCGACTGCCTGCAGGCGGTGGCGTGGTGGCGGTGAGCTTCCGCAGGTGGCTGCGGTGGTGTTGGCAGCAGGGGAAGGGGAGCTGGTGAGCGCCGACTGGCAATTAGCGACCACCCGCAGACATCATCAGCGGCAAGGGGGGTGGGGGGGTGGGGAATGGTGACCGCCTGCAGGTGCTGCCAGCAACCAATCTCAGGGGGTGCACCACCAATCTCAGGGTGCAAGTGCATCCGTGTGCACCCCCTACACATTGCCAATGTTTGCTTTCATAATCACATGTGCACCCCTGAGGGCCACAGTTTAGAAACAGGCCTGTAGCCTGTTCGACACCCCTGAGCCAAACCTTTCAGGCCAGGAAAGGCATTTCATAATATACTATAGTATTACCTTGTTGATTTAAGTGGACTGGCAATGGGTGTCAAACTTGACCTGGGCCAGATTCAGACTGCAGGGGCTCCTCCTGAGCTGGATCCAGAGGGCTTGCAGCAACTGCGGTGTGGCTGCATTCAGGCAGCAGCATGAGTCTGGGGCCAGGTGGTAGTGTGTAGCATGGAGCTGCTTTTGAGTGGCAGCACAGTTCGGGGACCCAGCAGCACAGGTTTGGGGGTGCACGGTGGCACACGGCTGCACTCGGGCACCAGTGTGGCTCTTGGGGCTGCTACCAATGGCAGTGTCCATCAGAGTCTAGGAACCCTGAACTCTGCAGCAGACAACCTCACTTGCCAACTTCCAGTAGACTACCTGAAAGTTGGATGGAATAGTTCTGTGGGCCAGATCCAGCTCATGGGCCACATATTTGACATCCCTGGGCTAGATGAACCAGTGGCCTTATCGCTCATGACTGCTCCAGTGTTCTGACAAAATGTACTGTGTATACTATTGCAACCTATATATAGCTGCCCTTAATTCACATTTAATGACTATTGCAGCAACAAAATATGGAATTTTCAAAGCCAGCCCCTGGGTATGGAACTCAAATTATCTGTCATTCTTAAAATGATGAAACATAAGATTTATGCTTGCAGATTTTTCTAGCTATTAACTTGATTGGTGCTTTTATCTAATGTGTCAAGGGAACAAAAGAAATTAGGACCTAGTAAAAAAAAACTTTCTGCCTGCCTTCAAGGTGGGAAGAATACATGGATCTTACCTATTTTGTTATATAATGGCAAGGTAAAAAGGCAACTTATGTGAAAGTCATCCCCAGTACTGTTTACAAATCTCTCTTCTTCAAGTTCTTTGGGCTAAATATGCTCTTTTGTACACTGGTATAAATCAGGTCTCTCTCCATTAAGGTCAATAGAATTATACAGCGTTGAGGTGGTGAGAGAGCAGAATGAACCACTGCCTTGCCTTACATAATCAGAATGCCACCAGATGGGAATGGAAGCATTTTACCCACATTTTTGTATAGATGTGAATGTCTGTACCAGAACACTGGGGAAATTAAGCCCCATTCATGTGAAGAAACTAGTGGGGGCTGTTCTAGATTCAAATGTGCCTTTTTTACAACAGTTGTTGTAAATGTGGTACAATAAGAGGTGTGTGCTTCTACCACTCATAAGGAGACTTGATGCTACTTCAGAAAACATGCCTGCAATGTCACCAGCAGGAAACACATGGAACAACCTCAGAACAACAGAAAAATTATATAGGAGCTCTGTCCTAGATTTTCACAAGAGACACAGGACTTTGGGGTGCTTCCTTTTTTGGATCCCATATTCAGATGCCTTTACGGACCTGGGTATTCTAGCTGCCAGGTGCTTACCAGCATATCTTTCTAAAAAACTGCATTCCTTTCAGTGTCCCAGTTTCAGACACTGAAAAATTGAAGGCCCCCTCAAAGTCTAGTCCCTTTATCCTAATGTTCATTTAGAGCTGTTGGAAAGGACATGAGTGAAATGACTGTCATGATAATGAAATCCACAAGCTTCTAGAAGTGGCTGACAAGTGAATGGCTGACAAGTGACAAATGGTCAGGAAATCCAAACAGGGAGGAGGAAATTCATATCTCAGACCAGCTCATGTTGTGTGTCATCATGCAAGGATCCATGGGTGACAGCACTCACAAAATGGAGTAGCTGCAAATACCCGAATGCAAAGTATATCATACTTTTAGGATGTCTTAATATTGAAGTCCAAATGATAACTTACATATTTCTTGTTGGGGAAGCATGTGCAATAGAATTTTTCATGCTGGATCTCATGAGTGAAGTGAGCAGACCACTAGTAATTGGAGCCTCATATGCTATCATTAGCAAGAGCTGCAGAGGTCGTTCTTAAGCATGTCTGAGCAGCAAGTGGATAGAAGTAATTTTTCTTCTGTGTCTAGGACTGCAGTGATCTGAAACAAATCCCTCAAAACTTGTATATCTTTTCTGTGCAGCATAGCTGAGAGAGAAGTAATTGCAAACTTTACTCTAAGATGACTCAGTCCTTGGTTTCACATGCATTTAGTTAATGGAGCACACAAAACTAGAATGTGGCCATCATAGTAACATTAAAGGAATTGCTAAAAAAAAATGTTTTGCTTCCTCACTGTGACAGTCAAAAATGATGTGCATGTTTGCCCTGATTTTCTAGAGCAGTGCCCAAAAAGCGATTCTTGCTCATAATGTAGAGTATATAAATGCTATAATTCTAAAGTAATGGATTGGCAGGATGCTGTGCCTTGGTGTGCAGAACCTTGCATGAGAAGGGGTTCTGCAGGGATGCAAATATTGCTAAGATCTGTGCAGAAGGAGATGTGGATGGTCACTGGACATTGCATGTTACTTTAGGGGTCTCTTCATATGCTTTATCAGTGGTGAGCAGGGATCCTGGTTTTCTCTGTTAAAATTGCAAATTCTCTGATAAAAATCACAAATTCTCTGATTTAAAAAATCCAACATCCATGATTAAAATGAAATGTCACTAATATATATATCTCTAGAGAGAGAGAGAAAGGTGTCAATTGAACACAATGTTTTATTGATATATTTACATTTTTAAATCAATTTGGAAGCGTACCAGTGCCTCAATTGTTATAATAAAATAAATTCTGAATGCCTATACATTTTGATGTTTGATTTTGGGTTTTTAATCATTGAAAATCAGAGCTCCCCCTGCCCCCTTCGCTCACCAGAGCGCAGGTCTGGGCCCCTCACTCCCCACCCACAGACCCCCTCCCCAGCCTGCTGGAAGGGGCCCCCAGCTGCCAGGGCTATGGGGCCAGGGATCCAGGTCCACAGCCCCTTGCCCCCCTGCAGCAGAGCCCAAGCCCTGGCTGCTGCCCATGAGAGGCAGCAGAGCAGAGCATGGGAGCCTGGCTCCCCCTACCCTGTAGGTGGCACAGCCAGAGCAGAGCCTGTCCAGGGGCTGGAGGAGGGAGTGAAGGAGGGCAGCCAGCTCCACGGCACTATGGTGAGGCACCCCCTGCCCACCTGTCAGCAGCGAAGGGCACAACTCTGTGCCACCCTTCTGCTGCTGCTGGGCAGGCAGGGGGTACCTCATCATGGCAGCATGGGGCTCATGGTAACGACACCAAGCTTCCCCACCCAGCTCTGTTCTACCACGCTGGGTCCTGCCCACTGGGCTGGAGAGCCCCCAGGGGAGGGCAGCAGGGCAGGGAGCCTGAGCCCACAGCAGGCAGCCTGCAGGCACCCCACCCCATGTACAGATTTAGGGGGCACATGCCCCTCATGCCCCCCATGAATGCACATACCAGTGGGGAGTCAGCACCCTCCCCTACCTCCAGGACAAGTCGCCCATGGCTTCTTCCCACACCCCTGCCTGGGCCCTGCAGCCATGCACTCCACCCCTGGGCCCCAAGCCCCATGCACCACCCTGGCTGGGTAGCAGCCCAGCCCCAGTCATGCCCAACTCCCTCCCTCCTTCACCCCGCCCCTCACTA